ATGTAGATCTCTGACCTACCCTGCTCACTTCCAGGTCGACCCAAGGACATGTCCTTAGGTTACCTCATTTTATTATGTTCATTATGTCTGATATTGACAGCATTGACATTTCTTAGCACATTTTCGTCATCATTTCATACTAGGAAGGTTTGAAGTAGCCCCAAAACAAGAGGAGTCCCTTTATTTTCTGGTACCACCGATAGATTGATACATACAAACCCTTAAAGCACTGGTGGTAAGGTACTTCACAAGCAAGAAGCTGTATATTATCATTGTATGCGACCTCTGACCTCCCAAAAGCGATCTGGTAATGTCGTGCTGCTTTGTAGTTGTTATTGATTATTGCTTTGTAATTTTATGCTAGTTGTAGTGTAATGGATGCAAGTGTTATGTCATGTTATGTGCCTTAATTTGTATTATATTTGTGTACTGTTTTGTGAATCCAGGAAGAATAGATTAGATTTATCTAATCTAATGGATATCTTATAAAACATCAAACTCTCCAAGCAGATCTAGAGGTTGATGGTGGAAGATCGTTTCCTTTTTATATATGGCCCTTTTTTTCGTCGCCACCACCACCACCTACCTCTGCCGGTACTCGCACGGGGAGGAGCACTTCTTTTCAAAAATGGTGTTGGTGTGGTAGCGACAAAAAAGGGCCATATATATAGGGCTATGTAGAACCAGCCGACGATACGAAACAATGATAGTGACATCGCATTTTTGCCTCACAGATATCAGTATGCTGTGGGATAGGGTTGATTCAACTTGCTACGTTAAAAAAAAAGGACCAGGAAATTGAGTTTGAAAATCCAGTTTTACAGCGCTGAAATCCCTTTGATACATACGTGCCAAATTCTCGCCACCCGAAGGGCGAATCTCAAGGAGGAAAGACGGGATAAGGAAGACAGGCGTCAGAGTCTGGCCACGGACTTTTCTAATGGATTCATCTGGAATTCTGCGGCCGTCACAAGAAAGTCTGGTACGGTGCAGGCAGTGGTGTAAAAGCCAGCCGCGGCGGGGGAGTTTTAAATTTCCTACCACCCGTACCTGTAGCAGAAAATCTCCTCCAGGAATAACTATGTCCAATTTGAAAAATTACGTTCACGTCCAACTTGATGAATTACGTACACTGTAAGACCCTTTTTGCAGTCCCTATAGCCTATTTATTCCCCAGTCAACGACTAAAATTGATGGCAATTATTTTACACACCGGGCAAAATCGCTGAAGCGTACATTGATACTGTACAACGTCAACATCGTGCCAGCGGGACCGGGAATTTTGATATCAAATATAATGGAAAAATGGAGGCACTTTTTGGTTGTGCTAGTAACATACGGACAACCTACACAGAGACCACACTAGATTTGTAGGCATACATGCGGCAATGGTTTATTGAAATATATCTACAAAACAAGATGTAGTTTATTAACCGTGGTCATCTCTAATTACCTTCGCCAAGAATTGGAGAAGGTTATGTTTTCATGGCCGTGTGTGTGTGTGTGTGTGTCTGTCTGTCTGTCTGTCTGTCTGTCAACAGCATAACTCAAGAAAGCTTGGATGGATTATCTTGATATTTGGTAGGTGGGTAGGTCTTGATGAGAGCTCGAACTGATTAGATTTTGGGCCCCCTGGCGGCTTCTTATGGTACTGCAGCTGAACTTCCGGTTTTGATATCTCATGATCTAGACATGCTAGGGTGACGAAATTTAAATGGTAGGTAGCTCTTGTGCTGGGGAAGAAGTGACGTCAGTTTGCGCCCCCTAGCGGCTTGCTCTGGAACTGCAGGGCTATCTGTTTTAAAATATCAAAAAGAGCATAACTCAAGAACCGGTTGACGGATCGTCGTGATTTTTGGTATGTAGGTAGCTTTCATGATGCTTGATATAATTGTATGACAATTATGCAAATATGGATGTGATTTGCATAATTTATGGAGAGATTCTATAAACCAGCTGCATTCCATGATAAGACTATTGAAGCTTGTGAGATTGGTAATTGAGAAGGAGAGAAACACAGGCAGATATTGATTATGTATATGAGGACATAATTTGCATAATTAATCAGAAAATGTTATAATTCTGTAATGATGACTGCCTGGAATTTTTATACATGTGGTATGTGAAAGTTCAGTGAAGGTAAACATCATTAAACATAATATATATTCAAATCAGGACCTTATTTGCATAATTTATGAGGAAACAATAGAATGGCACAATAATTTGTCAGCCATAAAGATTAACATCATTTGGCGAAGGTATGAGATCGAGGAACTCTAGTTTTGTAGATATGATTCATAGGAATACATTTTTATTTTTTTCGGCCAACCAACCAATTTGTCAGTAGCAACCACCTCACCAGTCAATGTTCTCGCTCAGTCCCTCGAGTGGTTGTTGAGTTTTACTGTAACAGCGATTCATCACCAGTAATGATAGAAGAAAAGTTGATTTGAGTCTCTTTTCCAAGGCCAAGCGATGCTTTCAGCGTCTACATGAGCTGTTTAATTTGAGTGCATGTTTGGGTGTGAGCCTGGAATAAGAGCGTGGAAGGCGCTAACGTTAACACAGACTGACGCGTGCCTTCGCCGCTCGATAATTGAAGGCAGGTAAAGGTGATTTGCACATGGAGAGGTTTAGGAGTTCAGTGGCGCCGTCGTTACGCGAACGGGCAGAGACGATGATAGGTGCGGTTCTGACCCGCACTCAACCCGTCCAAATGCCGCCTGACGGGCTATGGATAAACGCATCACGGCCAGGGTTCTTTCTAACCACAGGGATGAGAGAGGGGGGTTAAATGAATGAGCATTACGTTTGGCCGTAAATGTTCATTGATTGATTGCCGTAGCGTGGATAACTCAGTAATACTTCAGAGGACGTCATGGGACATTACGAACGCCGTACTTGCTCAACCCTTGGGGAGGAGAATTCGCACCGGGTGCGGCTTATTCTGGCACCAGTCTGACAGCCTTACACACCACGTTAGCACAGGGTGGTGTACCATATTTAGTCCAATTCTAGCGTACAAACGCTGGAATACTGTTATATAAGGAATTTACATAAAGACACTCTGATATGAGTCGGGTAATAACAGAGGATGTATGATATATGAATGCATACATTGTATGGCCTTAATCGTCAAAAACAATTTACCGATTTATGGTCATTGTCCTTGGTAGCCACTTTTCACTACAGGCTGCCACCGCTGACTGGCCGGTCAAAGTTGGACAGATCGCTAAACGAATGTCATAGATAAGGAAAGTTTTTCTGTGTCGTCTTTTAAATCTTGCTTTATCATCGTGCATCATACTCCAACTGTAAAATGAATCGTAATGCAATTTTGGTTGCTCAGCTATCGCCGTCTAGTAGAAAAGAGGGCTATAGCTAGATGTAACGATTTCGCAGAATTGGTTTGGGTCGTCGCCAGGGGTCAACTACTTCCAGCTAGCGGGATTTTCTATGTTTCCAAAGCCGGATCACACTCTCCATTGCCCGGCAAGCTTTAGACACACACGCCTTTTCTATGCAATTACATCAAACTCTCGGCTTCTTATGCAACTGCGTGTATTTTGCAGACACCCCCACTGACACCATGCAGCGCCGGAGAAGACTTTTGCTCCAATATCCGCAAATATAATCCCTGGGTGAATACCTGCAAAATACTAATAGATGAATGACTTCACGCACTTGTCGACAGGCATATATAACGTTACAATACTTTTTAGTACAATTGCTTAGTGTAGGTCAGAATTGTACTTTAGAAGCTGAAAACACACATCGTAAAATCTTTACGCACACCTTAAAGCATGCGTAAATGTTCCGTTTTTACCTTTGCGCGTACCTTTACGAGTATGATTTTAGGTGCGCTTTAAGGTAGGATTTTGTGCATTTTGTGCACACTCTCAACTCTATAGGGAAATGTAATGAAGTGGTTTTGATATTCTTATGCTTTGTGAATGGGTTTCCTTAACTAGCGGTGTATTCCCAGTCTTCACCCTTATTCCCATTACTCTACCCGGGAGGGCTAGGTACAGGCCTTTGATTCTATCTGATTGCCCCCATGCCCACCATCACCTGCAAACCCCTACAAACTCATAGCCTCTAAAACACTCCCCAGATTGCTGCAAAGTTAGTTGAAATTGGACAAATAGACTGAACAATTTGTCAGCGGAGTTTAATGGCCGGCTAAGGAGTTCCAGACAGACGACCTTGGGTCAACTCCGCTGGCAAATTGTAGCCTATTTGGCCAATATCTGACTATTTTGCCAACAATCCAGGTCAGAACCTAGTGAACTCGTCACATAGACAGGAATGGGGCTCAGACGCAATACGTTTACATGAAGAGATCTCTGTTTATTTGAGTCTGGGGTTGAAGGAAAGAACAAATATGACATAGATTTGATTCATGGTTTTCAATCTGATTGTCTGTGATTGTCCGTTTCGAGACATGTCAAGTCTTTCACACTGAACTGATACTGAACGTAAATTATACTGTCTAGTCTTGATGTCAGGACAAATTACAATGTCTACATACCACGTGCCATAAATATCAAGTATATGTAAGACTTAGAACTAAAACATATCCATGTCTCTAGCCACAAGATGCTAAAAATCCATACATTTTGTACAAATAACAAAAGGCTTAGCAAACACATATGCATATACAACTACACAAATGAGCCGCCACAAACTGGAATTTCTTGCAAACTCAATTCATTGCATGTCAGAAAGAATATAGGAACAAGACAAGTATACTAGTATTATGTGCCAGATTTCAAAGACAACATTAAGTTTTAGTATTAACTGATGAAAGACATCGAATGGCGTCTGAAACGTCTGAATTTCTAACATGTATCCAGATGTATCAGTAGTTCTCTGTGTATTAATTGCTCGTTATTATACGAAATGTTTCTTCTGTACTTGCAATTAGCCCTCGGGCATGAATTTTCAATAAAACAATTATTATTAAAATATCATTCTAGAAGTGGCGTGGCATTGTTTTTCTACACGTATGTTTCGTATAAGTAGATGAATTCTTGGGGAGTTGAATATTGAACTGTTCCGTCATTTACCTCACAAATCTCTTCCTCGAAGAAGTCGCTCTTTTCCGGCCCGTCCCGCACCACGACTTCTCCCCGGTGGACGAAGCTCCGCGCCGGGCGCTGCTCGGCCGACCTTTTCCGGTCCAGCCGCAGCGCCGCCCGAAAGCTCTCGCGGAACCTCTGACTCATGAAGGCGTAGAGGATGGGGTTGACACAACTGTTGACGTACGACATGGCCATTGCCGTGTGAAACACCACCAGCAGTCCGAGTGTGGGATGTAAGGTTGTGGCCAAACTGACCAGCTGACACAGGTGGAAAGGCAGCTTGCAGACTACGAATGTCACGATCATGGCGGTCACCGTTCTAGTCACCTTTACCCGCATCCTGACCGAGACTCTGGCCACCGCTGTGTGCGCCGACGTGTTTTGCCTGAGATGACGGACGACCATCAGGTACGAGATACAGATCACCGCCAGAGGGACGACGAAGCCGATGACGAAGGTGTAGGACGTGAAGGCTTTGTGCCAGAACACGACGTTGTCGGGCCAGATGAGGGTGCACTCGTACTCTCCGCTTCCCCGCGGGATCATGTCGCTGACGATGATGACGGGGATGGTGACCAGGATCGCCGCCACCCACACCGACAGGCTCACGACCAGCGCTACCTTCGGCCGGCGGAGGTGGGCATGGCTGTGCGAGCACACGATGGTCAGGTACCGGTCCACGCTCAGCACCGCCAGGTTAAACACGCTGCTGAACATGTTTAAGGCATCCACCGACTGCACGATTTTACACATGGCTCTCCCGAACACCCACCGCTCTATGGCCGTCGATGCCGACGTGAACGGAACCCCGAGCATGGAGAGCACGTCGGCCAAGGCCAAGTTCAGGACGTAAAAATTCGAAGCGTTCTTCATCTTGGTGAATCCCAGCAGCATGTAAATCACCAGCGAATTGCCCAGCAGGCCCACCACGGTCACCAGTCCGTACACCGTCGGGGAGATGATTTTGGTGATGATGTCGGAGGCGATGTGCAGCCGGTCGTACGTTCCGTTCAGCGCCGTCCAGTTCTCCGTCATGGTGACGGAGTTTCTAACGCGAGCGCAGAAAAGCGTCGGTTACTTGACGTTTCCGTGCGTATGAAAAATATTAATAATGGGGGCTATGATAGCGTCATGATATAGCGCCAAAACGCACGGTTCCCCGCTACAACTAAGCCTTGCTCCAGGAGATGTTTGCTAGACCCCACATGTAGATATCTTCCCGCAGGGCTAACATCCCTCGGAGTAAAGACTCAGTGAGCTTCAGTTTCTTGTGCCTGACTGGAATAACAGCTCGCTAATAGGCCTGCCAATCATCATGCAGAAGAGGCTGACGAACCAATAGAAACTTCCATAGGACCATTCGGCTGTACAAGGTAGGTAAACCGAGCTCTTCATTGGTTGGTACTCTATGCTGACCTTGGAGAGATTTAATTGATGTGGTTTGGAGGGGCGAATTATCCCTCCCTACACACACTCACACATCATTACTGCAACTGACGATTGGCAGATAAAGCAGCCCATAGATAGCCATATAGATACGTGCTTGTTTGTTTCAAACCGTTTTTCTTTCATCAAAATAGGAGATAAAGATTCGGTTGAGAAAAAAAACAACGACATACAGCACGACCTGCACCCCGCGTTCCTCTTTTAAAGTGCTGGTGGAGTGAGAATTCAAGGATAAGTGCTCCAATTTCATCCTTCTAAATTCCATTTTCCTCGAAATCGTTTAATTCCTTCTGCGAACACCTTTGCAATCTTTCGTAGCTGATGCCATTCTCTGTGCAGTATTGGATGTAATCGTGGCTGAAGTCCAAGTTTTCAAACGTTTTTTAAATTCTGGAGACTAGACGTGGGTATGTAGGAGATGTGTCGGCGGGACTTTTTATTGCTTTTTGTAAGTCGCGAAGCCGCAACTATGCACATATAGGCTTTTGTGCGTTTTCATCTTTATACTAACACATCCCCAAAACGCCTCATTATTTTTGGCTCTGGAATATCGTTTTTTTTTTATTTGCGCGAGTCGACCAAACCCCAATTTTGTAAAATTGGTGTTTTTTTATTAGAAAAAAATAATAAAATTGGTGTTTTTAAATTTTCATATTCAAACTAATCTCTCGTCAAAATGTCTCATTAATTTTGTTCTTGACAACCGTTCTGAATAAGGCCACGTAGATGTTTCAATTAGGAAATGCTTCAGCACCAAGGAGAGGACTCATTTGTTATTCGTCTCACGCATTTTAACTGAAGGTGCGCTGAGCCATGAAACAGCTCTTATTAAAGCCTTCTCTCCCCACCAGCGACTCTGCAAAACGATGATCCCTTTTTCTGAATGTCAATCATCAGAAACTATGCAAGACGTACCTTCATTTTCAACTATAGGGTACGTCTGGCCAAACTGAGTTGGATGAACTAAGGATACACCTTGGGACTAGCGTTGTGTGATCATCATGACAAGCGCTACTGTTTAAATGCGTGATTGTCACAGGGAAACCAAATAATTTCGATCGGAATTAACTCATGCTTACTCTGAGGTCTTACGGCTCTCAGTACCAATTATGGGTGAAGCCCCTTCTGCGCTTCGTTTTGAAATGCCTAAAGGAAGGAATACTGCACTTACGGGCAAGGAAAATCTATACCTTTTTGTCTGTAAGGTACGGCCATCGGAGTCTAATCACATTGTGGAAAGTTTTATCTTTCTAACCAGACATTCTACTCTCGAGTCGCAGTATCAGTCCCAATACAGACACTTCGCTGGAACTCAAATGTTGTCTCCTGAAATACCCGCTTCAGGCTTCCGTATGAAACCATGGCTCTTGCGTGGTGGGATTCATGTACAATGTTTCCGACGCGCCTGAATGATTTACTTAACTAGTTGTGTTCCAAAATGGCCAGCGTAATACTAGCATTGTGGAGATTGTAGATGGTATCACTACACGGTAATGGTTTGCTTCAGGAAACACTTATCACCGCTATCTAACCATCCATTCACTGTTCCCGGTGCCGGATAGCATTGATATTCCAGGCAGTATCGAGGGTTGTGCATGTGACCTGCATCTGTCTCTAGGCGTATGAACGGCGTACGGGGGCGTTCATCTAACCAGCTTGCCGTCGCCACAATGATCCACCATATACCCGTATTACCGGCGTGCTATAACGGCCTGAGGCAACCACCATCCCCACCTGTCTTCACATTCACCGCTCTAAACTGACTAAAGATACCGACGATGATAAACTCGTCTGTACTATACAGTTAACCCTTGGCGGCGCGTGTCATGTTATCATAGAGAATGGTGTAGGGCGGCAGCAAGTAATTTATGGATGACATTAGCGCGCGCATTGGTTTTCACCTGATTTGGGAAAAAAACAAGAAATTTTGTAGCCTTCTGAAAGCGGTCAATACGCCGGAAAAAGGCAAAAATGTCTGTTGCCATGCCGGAACGTGAATGGCAGATAAATATGAAGAGGGAAGACAACACAAGGCTCTGATTTATTGTTTTGTCTTTTACTTTGATGCAGTGATGCTTTTCATTCCTTTTATATGTCATGTTCACCGAATCGAAACCACTTGTACAATGATTGGAAACTTTTTATTTTTCAGTGATAAATGGATGTAATAGTTGGCAGTAAACTTGGCACAATATAGTATCATTTCTTGTCTAACAAGGTTTATGATTTCAAAATTTGAAAATGTTTCTTTGGCCAACATTGTTTTGCTTTCTCCCTATCGCATTAGATTTGGAGTCTGCGGATGATGTTATCCATAAAATTCACTTGCTGTGGCCTAAATATGTTAAACCGTCGGTAATAACGGTTGGACTTTTCAAACTCCTCTCTATTTGCCCCCTGTAGACCGGTAAATTGGTTAGTCAGTTAACAGCATTTTTCTCTGAGGATAATTCCGACATGACGTCAAAGGCTTGCCTTTCTCCAGGCTAGTCTTAATTCATTTCTGTGTAAACTCTCTTCTACTGCGAAAATAAGATGTTTACGTGCATTGTAACGTAAGCGTGTGACATTCTACACACTATTCTCCAAGCTAGCAGAGGTTAGGGTTTGGAAGTATTTTTGGCGTGTTTTTAGATTTTTTTAATCGGATTTTTTTTTTGCACTGGAATTTTTCTTTCACCCAACCCAACATCTACACACATGAACAGCTAAAACATTATTACAATGGCTGTAAATTTACCGTACGGGGGAAAGAAAATGGATAGAAGTTGTCCAAATGATAATACTGGTAAATTTGTGGGGGGCTGAAGTCCTAGCAAGATTGAATCTTTCTCTCCAAAGCCTTGGTCATAATTAAAAATCGGGGCCCATGGCCATGCAGCGCCTCGGCGGGCTGTTTTTTAGCACTATCAGACGGGACCCGGGCGGAGACTGGCGGGGTTCCCGACGGCTGCCGGCCTATATATTTTTGGACCCCGCACGTTCGAGTTGATTTTAACTCGAACTTAAAATCATCCCGGGCCCCGGCGAGACAAATACGCCAGGACGAAGCCGTAGCCTGAATGTGACCCTGACAGTCGGCATCCGCCCAGCTTCATTGCGCCGGCCGCGTCTAGATCGGCAACATGCCGCGCGGGCCCCGTTGGAAATGTGCCTCTAGTCTAAGCGGCCCTTTGAACATGTGAAAGTTGGGCAGAAAAAGGACCGTTATGTTATCTCCGGAGCTCTAAGGAGACCTTCTTGGAAGAAGACCAAAGAGCCCCGACGTTCTTCAATCAAAACCGTAACGATTTCTGGACTAGTTGCGAACGCGATCTTTCATCCCAGGTGCGAGGTGGCAGAGAGCAATTAGCAACATCTTGGAAAGATACAG